CTGCTGGTGCCTTCAGGCTCCACTTCAGCTTTCTCACCGACTCGTCCAGAGGAACCTGTCCCTCAGTGACTGAGCTTGTGGAGGGACTGGCCACTTCAGGGTCGGCGGCTGTCCCTGCCTCATACTGTTCCCTCCCCAAGTCACTTCCCAATTGTATTCTAGTTACTTGTCAATACATCTGCCCTTCAGCACTAACTCTGTCACAGCATCTGCCTCACAGATTACCAAAGTGACACAACTTTTATGTAGCAAGGGCTTTTAACTAAGACATTAGCTGGCAGCATTTGTTTTTACTGACACGCATATATAGCATGTAAATGGCTAATGTCTACTACAGGGGAAAACTATTGGCAAATCTTTCCATCCACCCTGGATTGGTAGGATAGTGAGTGACTGAACCTACGTGAGCATAAAAGTGTTCCCATCATACAAGACCTTGAATTTGAAAAATTGATCAATAGCTTGAATATGCTTTACATTTAAAATAAAAATGTACCTGCAGCATTAGTGTTAAAAAACCTCATGACACCATTAGTTTATAATACTGATACTAATGGATATCATTTACTGAGTCCTCACTATATGGTGGGAAATGTGCTAAGCATCTTGCATAGATTATTTATTCCACTTAGTTCTAGAGGCCCATGTCTAAACGACGTTAATTCATGATTTAGTTAATTGCTCTTAAGAGTTTCAGCTTTAGCCAAGAAGTACATTAGCACTGCATCTGGAAATTGATATCCTGGCTATATAATTAATGTATTCATTCAAATGTTAATGTATAACAGACCTTGGGAATAGAAAGGTTAGGATGCTCATTAGCTTAATTCTGTAAAGTATATATATATATATATATATATATATATATATATATATATATATATCATAGGAATAATTATGAACTCTTCATCTACATGATTTAAGTAGAAAAATACTATTTTCTCTATGCAAAAAAATCACATTTTTAAATGTGGGTTGGAAAATTATGATACAATAAATCTGTTTGAGATACCATTTCCACCCATGTATTTCTTTTAAAATCGGACTCCTTTCACAAAATTAGATATGAAAAGCATTACCCTTATACAGGGGACTGTCAAGGAAGGCAAAGTTGCCCGAGAGTGGAGACAATACTATCACATTTCCAAGTGGGGACCCCTGGCTATTTTAGATGGGGCTGGATTTTGTCAGACGTTTTTCCAGACCAACTGATACTATCATTTTTTTATATTAGCCTCTTTATATGGTGGATCACATTGATTTATACTTGAATATTGAACTGGCCTTGCATATATTATGTAAATTCCACTTGATTATGGTATATACTTATTATACATTGTTGGATTGTTTCTTAAAAATTTTTGAGATTTTGCATCTAAATTCTTAAAAGATATTGGCCTGCAGTTTCAGGGGTGGGGGTTTAGTAGTTTTTGTCTAGTTTTGGTATCAGAGAAACACTGGTTTTATAAAATGAGTTAGAATATGTGACTTTATCTCCTGTTTTCTGGAAGAGATTATGTTAAATTGACATTAATTTCCTTAAATGTTTGGTAGACATTTCCAGTGAAAATATCTAGGCCTGGAGACTCTTTTTTAGAAGCTTTAAAATAACAGTTCGATTTCTTTAACTGTTTCTTTAAGGGACTAATCGGATTATCTAGTTCATTCTGGTTGAGTTTGGGTGTTTCTTGGTTTTCCTCCTGGCTGTTTTGGAGGGAGAGAGGAAAACGTTCAATGAGAGGGTCATACACTACAAAGCTCTTACTATTAATCTCCGAAGTTTATAGAGTGTAAAGTGTTTTATACTCAGGAATCAACTATTGACTTGTTAATCATTAATCTAAACCATTGCGGAATGCAATCTTGAGGGGTTTGTTTTTCCTTCTTCCAACCTAAATCTATTCGTTCCATTTTCAGATTGAAAGTAAATGATTCCATTTTCATGCTACCAAAACCCCAAGATCCTAACAAGTTTTACTTGGAGTCATAAATGGGGTCTAGAAAATAAAAACCTTCCTCAGTAAACTACTGGAATAATACTTTAAATGTGTTTTTATGTTTACAGCTACACTGGTTAGGGGTACTAAGGAAGACAGAAATTACGTATTTCAAATAGGAGATTTAGTGCAAGAAATTGATTATACAGATGGTAGAAAACAAAGATTAGGAAGGAAATTGTGAAGTATTCCAAAGATTAATAATTGCAGGAAAATAATTTCTCAGTCCCATCCAGGGCTGCAGAACAAAGGGGAAGACATGTTACAAAAACCTAGGTCCCACCAGGAGCACAGGTGGCTGGTGCTGGGACCCCCGAGGTGTTGTGTGGCTGGTGTTCAGGGGGCTGAGGGGGCACTGGGGGCTGGCACTGTGACGCCTAAACACACCAGACACCAACTTATCTGTCAGCTGATAACTACAGAACAAGAGGGACAACTAATCGGTGACAGAGTAACCCATTTCAGAGATGACAAATCAAGAAGAGCCACTTTTGAATAGACATAAACCTGAAATAATATATTATACAATTGAAAGCAAAGATATAGATGGAGAAGAGATAATTCAGCTGGAAAGTTACAAATTGAAAGTGAATGCCTATGGCGACTTGCACTCCTCATTGGGAGACTACAGGTTTAGCACGTTGGTGGAATGGGTGATTCAGTTTACTTTCGGAACAATATTGCAAGTAGAAACAGCAGGATATATCACACCTTCCAATGATGAACATTTAAGAAAACGCATATAGCCATTTTATACACCTGGTATCCAGAAACATTTCCTTTTGTTTCTCTGAATTGTTTGGAAGACTTTCTTCAGAGTGGTCTTTGTTTTATAGAGTGCAGTGGCCAGCCCACGGCGGAACACTGTAAACTGTACTAAGTCAAATTCACGTCACTTAGAATGTTTCTGAAAAAAGTGAGAGAAGACATAAAATCTTATTTCCTTTAGAATAAATAAAATTGCAGATTGTGTTTAATATGAGACTTAACAGGAAGAAGGCCAGATGTTTGCACAGAAGAGCAGGACCAGCTGCCTTTTGCCTTGTTAAAGGCTCTTGACCATGGTGCCGCCATGTTCCCCCTTCTAAGAAAAAGCAGAGAATCTTGCATTTAACTGTGTTCAGTTTTCACTTAAGAATCATTTTCTGGAAGCTCTGCATGTATTTGGATGGCATTACACAGAATACCTCTGTAACTTTCTCTTTGAACTGAAACCAGGTGCTGCTGTTTGCTGACTGGAAATTAAGTGCATTCAGTGTGTTATCTCAAAAGCAACTATTATTAATGGTATTCCTTTAGAAAACTTCGGTCTGAAACAAGAAAATGTTTAGTTTTTTGCTTATTATAATTAAGTCACAATAACCTCCTATGATTTTGGACTGACATGTTTTTTCATTATAGAAATTCAAAAAGATACCATTTAATGTGGTTTATGAAAATGTCAATTATCTAGGAGCCTCCAAATTTTCTAACTAAAAATAGAATCCAATCAACTGAGTGAGTCTTAAATGATACAGGGAAAGAGAAATTCAATTATATGACCTAGGGAAGCCATCTGAGTATGCTGCTTCTCTTTTTGTCTAAAAGTCAAACACTAAAAGTCCCAGTGTTTGAACCCCATAATGGAAGACATGTAAGTACAAAAGTAATTAGGCAAAATTACTGTGGCCTTTTATGTTTGAGTTAAATGTAAAAATGTCCTGGCCTCCCAAACTGTTTCCTAAAGGAGTTTTTCACCATTTTTAATTTGTTATAAACAGATGTCAACATTTCAACTCACAACTACAAAGTGTCTGACAATAGTAATGTGCTGACTATAGAAAGTATGCTTCTAAACTCTCAGAAAGCAATTCCTGAATGAAGACAACACTCAAATGTAAGTTTCTCTGGTTTATCTTACTGGAATAAAAGTTGTGTTATGTTTGCTCAAAAATCTCTAACTTAACCAAGTACAAAATAGTGGTCCTATTCTTCAACATAGAACAACTTTTCCAAAGCAAGAGAAAAAGATTAAAGTTTTGTAGCAAAAACTGGCAGTATTGTTTCTTGCTGTTAAAAGCCTATGGTTAGTGATGGCTAAAGAAACATGAAGACTAGAAAAAAGTGGGCACTTTAATGTACAATTCTTTCCAAATGTATAAATGGAACAAAAGGTGCAGTTCTTTAAAAATGCCAGAAATAAGCAAACAAGTGATGTGTTCTTTGTTGACACACATAAATCCTTCACACCGTGTTATAGCATTTTTTCAAGTGCATTGGGCTACACTATAAGAAAGTTAATTATTGGGGCCAGCAGTTAAATAAATATGATTTAACAGTTCCTCCAGCAAAAGCCGTTTTTGCGAATGAGCCACCTCAATCCTAATCACTCATCTGTTAAAATGTCACATTCATATCACAGCATTGAAGACATAAACTGAAATTAGGTGACTGATTTCTGGCTTCCTCTCTGATTAGCTATTCACAAGGCCAAGAGGGTCCATAACACTAAAAGTTTGTATCCCCATTTCTTTACCTGCGATGTTCTGTTCTGGGACTTGTCTTTAACAATGAAGGGATGTGTGGTCCTATCCCATCAATCAGAGGAATTTAAATCTGACTTTCAGCTGGTACAAGTAGAGGAGTACTGCTCATTAAATTAGGACCTTTTCTACAATTACTTATATTGTGAAAAGTTATTCAAAGAACACTTAAATATAACCTTCTAAGAATCATACAACAGATCTTCATTGATGCAATTGGTCATGTGTGTCTGGATAATGAAAATTTAGGATGATTCAAACCATACAAACTCTCCCTCTGGCTCTCTTCATTAGAATAATACACGTTGGAAATCTAAATTCCAAACACTTCCTCTACTGATCGTGAGATGTAGTGCAAGCCACCTACCGCCAACTTTTTGAATGTTTAGAGTGTTGACCCTTGATGATGCAAGACTTTCATTTAAAAGACATAATTATATTTCCAAAACCTAAATTGCCCCAATTCAATCTTTGAAATGAGTTGATTTATGTTTTCAGTTTATTGCCATTCACAAAATATTTTATAAAATAATATGGTAGACTTCAACATCATAACATAAAAAACTTCACAGTGCAAGAAAGTGATTGCTATTGAATAGGACGATCTCTAAAGCCAGCCAGTATTTTAAGTATAGTGCAGAATATTTTTGCAATTCCTCCTAAAAAATGTTGGCATGTTCATTAAATGCCCAGGTTATAAAAATCATGTAATATTAATTATTATCCTTCAGTATACTTTTATATCTACATAGCATCACATTAAATGCTGGTGGGTAAAAGAATGTAGAAATCTAAAAATAATTCAGGTTTTAATGATTTAAAACCAACTAGCAAAACTCTTTCCCCCAAATATTTTTGTATGTAATTTCCTGTCCATTACCACAATGACAAGGTAAAAGAGTCATTATACCTTAAAAAGAAGCTAAAGCAAAATATTTCACTTTTCCTGTAAAACATAATTTCTTAACCCTTAAATAAAGAAGGAAAACTTTAAATTTGGGGGTAGGGGTAGTCTTTCATAAGTAAAAAACATCCATTATGTCAGTTGTACAAATGTTTCATTTAGGAAAGTGGATATTTTGATTTCAAACGATTCCAAAATATTACAAGAGTAGTATTTATTTTTTTTCCTGAGGTCCTGGGAGCAACGGTGTGGCAGTGAGCAAGGCTCCCAGGTACAACAAGCACCACCTTCCTCCGCCCGTTTGAACTACTTTTTTGCTTCCCCTAATCAGACTCCAGCAGAGGCGCCCACGCAGCCGCAGTAGAGGCTCGACCAAAACGGCGGAGGGATCTCAGGTGAGGTGCATTCCCGTAGAAAGTCGGCGGGGCCTGGTGGGGAGGGCGAGGGCTCTGGACCGTGTTAGAACCTGAACCGAATCGGTGGTGTGGCAGTGGTCGCCTCCTTCCCCAACCCCCAATGCTGCTGGCCACAGGTGCCCAGAACTTGACGAGCCTGTCTTGTCAAAGCCACCGCTGACCTCCACGACAGAAAATCGTACTTAAAAATTAAAAGACTGTAACACACTGAATAAAATAACGAATTAGCATATCCTATCGTTTTTCACCAAATCCATAGTAAAAGAATAGGTTAGGTAAAAGATCTGTTTCCAACATTTGGTTATTTTAGCTAAAAGCCCCGGTGCAAACCACCCACTCCGAATCTCGGATCATTATCTCTCAAATCAGGGTTAGACTAATTGCCCTCCAACATCCCTCCCAATTTACAAATGTACATATAATTATTAAGTTTATGTAATCCTTTTGAGAATGAGGTGTTTCAACTCAACGTATTTTCCAGATAAAGACTCCCCCCCCCGTTTAAGTACTAAAGCTGTTCTTCAACATTTAAACTCTTACTGATAAAATTTATTTTCAATGTATTTCCCTGCCACCTTAAAAGATGAGGGACAACTAAACTCCTAACTTCCCAGGGTCCCCAAGTGGCGGCTGGTGGAGGGACCAGCAGAACAGCCCGGGGTACGGCTCCACCCTGCGCAGCTCTGGGCCACACCCCTCACCTCCACCCAGGGGCGGTACCACCTGCACAGCCTCTGTTCTAAAGCCCAACAGAGTTACCATAATGTGTTACACCAAAGTATCTGTAGACGAAATGCAAAAGATTTCTGTGATAAGCCCAAATTGACTTTTTTCTGATAACAAAGTCTAGATGTTTCTTTTAAAACGTTTGTTCTTTGTCAAGATGTGCATTTATGGTTCTGATCCTTCTGGTTTGTACTGTACTCCAGTAGTTTTGTCCCCTGCTTCAAATTATGCTTCTAATGGCAACAGACTTGAGACTCAGAGGGTGTCTCCTGGAGTCTAAAAGACTGACCTTTGGATAGGTATAAACCAAAACCTAAAGATTTCTGTTACTTGAGTAAATGTGGTAGTATCATTACTCACTTTAGAATCGTTCCTGCTCTGACTGGAGCTCAGCCTGTACAGCAAAAGGTTGTGGGTTCGATTCCCCATCCGGGCACACACCTAGGTTGCAGGTTAGATTCCCCAGTCAGAATGCGTGTGGGAGGCAACTGACAGCTGTTTCTCCCTCACATCAGTGTTTTGTTTTTCCTCTCTACCTCTCTTTCTAAAAATCAGTAAACACATCCTTGAGTGAAGATAAAAAAAAAAAAAAGAATGTTTATCTAACTAGGTAATGCATCAGACTCACGTAGGAGCGGTTAAGTGAATCTAATTCAGCATGTCTGGAGTAGGGCCCAGAAAAGCTCTGTTTCTCAAAAGCTCTCCCAGGTAATCTCAACAATTGATAGTTCAGTATTGGGGACTCACTGGTTTGCTCACAATTTCTTTTCTAGAATGTTGGCAGCTGCTAGTTTGTTTTAGCACAAAAGTTTCTCCTTACATTAATTGCAAGCACAAAATAGACTGCCCATGACCTAGGCTTAGATCCACAGGGAACTAGTCATTATAACCCTTTGCAATAAAATTTTAAGATGACAAGTTAACTTCAGAGCTAAGACAATGCATGTGTAGAAGCTTTAAGGAGGCTGGTTCCATGCTCACAGGACAACTGTTTCTGATTTACTTGTATTTAGTCACTGGTAAAATTGAAGAGCGTCTTACTACAGTTGCCACTACTAAGTAAAGGATGGCAGAACTCCACCAAATAACAGAAAAAACGGTTAACTAGCTAATCGGTATTATTAAGAAAATGTTTCCAGCAGACATAAAAGTATTTTACAAAACCACACAGCTTCCTATAGAAACCCTAAGACTTACTACACTCTTCTGAAGTCTACCATAAAGGGAAAAGTTGACCAAAAGTACAGTTGTTTAAAAATATGTTTGATTAGCTGTGAAAATATAAGTGTCCAATAGGTACAATTTCATTCTTTTGGAGGTTTAATTGGCATAAAATAGAATTCACTTTCCATTTATTCTACCCAAATAGTTGTGAAAGGGGCACATGAAGTACTTGGTATAATGTAGTTCTCCACACCATCCCTTCCAATGTAACCAAAAGCCGCACTCGGACTTCCTAGGCTCCCACGTGTGCCTAGGCACTGCGGAACGTTGTCATGTCTTTTGGTTCTTTGCTGGGGACACACCAGTCATCAGCCTCGTGGTTGGCGTTGTAATGCTTCCAGGCAGCTTTGTTATACACTGGGAGTCTTTCTACCGATTCTGTTGATAGAGCCTGAAAGAAAAGCAGGACCTAAGTCTGGCATGTTTTTAGAATCCATTATTTAAGATTTAAGAAAACATACAGTGGCAAAAGGTTACTACAAATTAAACAGTACCTTACTGGCTTTGTATTTTATTAATCATAACACCATCTCCGTACATTTTTAAACAGTGTACATATTGGAAACGCATTGACTGAGTCTATGGCCCTGCCTGGAGTGCGTGCTGACCGAGTGTGCTGCCCGGATGCCACGGGACTGAAATTTTACACAAGCACAACACATGCTTCTTATGAAGCATGACCCAGAACAGAAGCTGATTAATTTAAAAAGTCCTATAAGTATAAAAGCATAAAAAGTTGACATATGTACCTTAATATATGTAATGGTACAATCATTTAATGAACTCTATTTTAATTATTTATTAGGATGAATACTATTTTTTCAGTCACTGTATTTTTAAAAACTCAATATAATATTACTATCAATATATATAAAACTATGTCTAAGGCATCTCAGCTTTTGCATGAGCCACTTTTGGCCCTGGGTTTGATCCTGTGTCTTTTCTACTGCCCTCAAAGCCAATTTCAATGGTAGCATATGTGTCTGCAGCATGCATAATTTCATGTTTCCAACACATTACTGTTAATTCACTCTTCTATTTTACCTTCCTGTAAATCATTGGAACTTGAAATAAAATAAACTCTTTATCTTCTTCAAGGTGGGATATTTAAGTAGAATTTCAACCTTAAGTCATAGGCATTTCCCAAGATGTAGAAAATATTGAACTATATTTTCATTTTGATAATGCTAAAGAAGATATTTGATGTTGGTGATTTTAATGATTCTGAAAGACTTCCTGTCATTTACTTTTTCCAAAATGGAACCAAAAAAACCTTTCACCTATATATTCTCTTTAAATATGCCAGAACTGCCAGCACCTCTTGATCTATACGGACTGGATCAAAGATGTTACATTTAGTGATAAAAAATATTGCCTTCATGTTGCCCTTTTTAAGTTCCTTAAGATTGAGATGGTTAAAAAGAAAAAAAGAACTATGATCTTGAAAGAACTTAACCTTTTCAGATAAATTTATTTTTTCCAAAAGTCTTCAGCATTTCCTATAAAATGGTTGCCATCTAGTGGCCAGAACAGGAAACTATCATCGCTAAATAATTAGGTATCAACAGATGAACCAGTCCAATGGATTGATGGGGTTCAGTGCTCTCTATCCCTGTAAAATACACTAATTTCTTCATAAACACATGGAACACCCAAGACAAGTTGGCTCGGTGCTTCTCCTCCCACCTGGTGGCTTACCAAGAGTCACCTGTGCTTGTTCCAAAATCTGTTTATGCAATTACATCTGTTATTATAAGTACATAATTTAATAGAGTGTAACTTACACAAAATGCCAAAAAAAGGAGGGAGGATTCTTTGAAAACTAAGATGAATATTTTGGAAAAAGTCATGAAGGAAAGTCACATAAAAATTGATATCAAATCAAAGTCAGAATATACCTGTAAAGGACTGCATAAAAATAGAAAAGGATTATGCACTTGGTTGTTTCTTTGTTTAAAGACACCAAGAAAAGAATTGTAAGTACAGCTTCTGCAAGGAAGATAACTGAAATTTCAATCTGTAGAACCAAAGAAAAGCCCTGGGCAGTACATCAAAAGACTGATGGATCAATGTCCGCTCATGTGCCTCATGTTAAAATTAAATTTGTAAGACATGAATCTTTTTATGAGTCCCCACTTTAATCCAACTTTTTCTATTAATAACCATAATTCTGATCATTACAGAGAAGAGCATTTCTTCTCCCAAAGTCAAGGAGATAATCTGTCCCCCCCAAAAATGAGGTCCTATGTAAAAAAACCATACACTTCTATTTTGATAGCCTGAGGTAGAAGAAGTTTTCGTTATAGTTAAATATTGGCATCTTTTCTTCTTAGGGAAAGAAGTCTCATTCACTCGAGAAAACTACAGTTGCCACCTTAATGTAGACCACTGCGTCTGTTCCGTAGCCCTCCAGTGAATACAGCTTCAGGTCTCCTTGGAAGTACTGTGCGTACAGGCGGGAGATGGGCAGTCCATAGCCAAAACCAGCCTGTGGTGTGAGGAAAACGAAATTCCGTTCAGAAGATAACTGACATTTCAACCCGTAGAACCGAAGAAAAGGCCTGGGCAGTACATCGAAAGACTGATGGATCCATGTCCACTTATGTGCTTCGTGTTAAATTTGTAAGACATAAAAGTTTTTATGAGGCCCCAATTTAACCCAACTTTTTTCTATTAATAACCATAGTTCTGATCATTATAGAGAAGCGTTTCTTTGAAATACTTATCTAATGAAAATAGACGCTGCTGAGTATTCCAGGGCTGTTGGTGCTTGTATCCAGGAAACCCGCTAATACTGTGATCACTGGACCCTAGCTGAGAACTACATTACATGGCTCCCCTCCGGTCATTTAGAAGTCTTCATTTTTCTACTATGAAATGACTTGAGAGGTCTGGAAAAGCACACTGCTTTGCTTCACTGGCCTGCCCTAGAGTATCCCAATAGTGCTTTGGGCAGCATCACATAAAACATGTTCTCTTTTGGGAGCAAGAGTAGAAAAAGCCTTGTCACAGCCTAACAGATATATCTCCTGATTTCGTTCCCTGAATTTCCAGTCTGTGTTATGAACCTGGAGAGATCTGTAACAGCTCTACCTTCTTAATCCTCACTTACAGGTCACTCCTCTGCTTAAAATTTTTCAAAGCACAGCTCCACCCCCCCACCCACTGACTTGAAATAAAAACCCAAGCTTGTAAAAGGAGCTTCAAGACCTGATAAGATCAGGTCTCTGCCTCCCACTTTCCAGTTCAGCTGAACTTAAAGCTCCTGCTCTTAAGTTCTTCGAACATATGCTATGTTTTTTTTACTTCTGTGTCTTCATTCATCCTGTACCCAGTATCCAGAATGACCTTATTTACTGGAATAAACCCTACCAATCCTTTAATACAAAGCAAAATTTAGATAAATGTAAAAATCATTTTTATCACCAAATGAGTGTTCAGTGACATTCTGTATAACACTTTAGTTAAGAGCTAATGTGGATTTGAGAATCAAAGTGCTATTAACAAATCCAGGCTCTGATTATAATTATCTCCACCAATTATTGGATTTTTCTAACCACAGCTTCTGTTCACCCCTTCAAACTGACCATCCTCCACATTTCTCCTTCCTCTGGGAGGCTGAGCTGAATGGCTGACAACGGATTCCCACACCCTCTGTTTCCAGTGGGTCCAGCCAATGGGAAACCCATAGGAGTTCAGAGGGAGTCAGGTCAAGAGTATTCACTCCCCTGCAGGCTGAGGTTGCTTCCCTTGTTACTAAGTAGCTGCTTTGCAACCTTCCCCTTTTGTGGGTTCTGCCGGCTGCTCCCTTTGATTCTGGGTGGCGGCGGTCAGCTTCACTCCTGCTAGCCCTGGATCCCCTGTACTATCCCTAATCATAGCTCCGTAATTTGTCTCTTTGTAAATAAGCCATTCTTAATTATCATAAGTTGAATGTGCTGTCTCTTTTTTGTTGGGACCCTGACTAACATATATATTAATTAGTTCCCAAAATGGACCCAAGGAAACAGCACATCCCAAGGAGGCTCAGGATGGCATGGCCTGATCTGCTTCATCACAGCCTCTCCCTCAACCACACGTGTGGACTCGTGGAGCTCCCCCTACAGATAATTTAGAGAAGGCAAATGGCCTGACACCCAGTGGATCTACACAGGATGCCAGCACCAGCCAGCAATGGACTGCCCTTTCACTACAGCCTCTCTCAGGACAGAAGTAAATCCTACTCATGGGCAGAACCTCAGGTGCAGCACCTACATGGACTCACAGGTGGCAAACAGGCTGGCTGGCTGGTCAGGGACTTGGAGAAAACAAATTGGATAGCTGATGGGAAGGAGCTCTGAAAGACAGAAATGGGGATGGTCCTCTCTGAGTGGGCTCACAGCGTGAAGATGTTCCGCCCATGTAGATGCCCAGCAGAGGCAACCACGTGGAGGAAGCTCTGAGCAGTCAGGCAGACAAGACAACCACTGCCTGCAGTTGCCAGGCGGTCTGTCTCCAGCTGCCCCAGTGTTTGCTTACTGGGTCCACTTACACGGTGGTCCTGACATCAGGAGGGAGACTCTGAAAGAAGCTTCACAACTGTCTTCCCCTCAATGAAGCTATGCAGACATGCAGGGAAGCTTGTGCCATGTTAAGTCTCCTGTTTTCCTAGAAATTCACACAAATTGTAGCCCAGGCTGGTATAGCTCAGTGGATCGAGCACCAGCCTGAGAACCAAAAGGTTTCTGGTTTGATTCCCAGTCAGGGCACATGCCTGCACTGTGGGCCAGGTCCCTGGCTGGGGGTCTGTCTCTGAGAGGCAACCGACTGATGTATCTCCTGCACATGGATGTTTCTTTCCTTCTCTTTCTCCGTTCCTTTCCCCTCTCTAAAAGTAAATAAATAAAATCTTTTTTAAAAATTCACATAAATTTTGCCTCCTAAACAACAAACACTTACTGACTTTGTGACAAGCACTATGAAAGGTATTTTTACACAGAGTAAAAGTCAGCCTGTACAATAACTCGATTTTTAAAGTTGGAGAAACTGCGGTATTAGAAGGTCCCTAATTTTCCCAAAGCTACTCAGATAAAATGTGGTTAAGTCAAGAATGGAACCACACAGTATGGATCGAGTCTAGACTAGTATGCTATGCCCTCTCCACAGAAATTCTATGATATATTTTACTCCAAAAGCTGTGTATCCCTTTTCTCCCCTTATTCCTAGAGCAAAGTTAGAATCCATGAAGATACACATGTTTATTATTTGACCTTGTCTGCCCCTCAGCACACGGATGCCTACCCCAGGCACCAAATGTCTACACTGGAGAAACTTACCACTATATTAATCATTTAAAAAGTTTTGTAAGACATGAATCATATTATACTTGTTGCTACAGAATTTGTGCTACGTAACAGATACAACTATCAGAACGAAGTCCTTCCAGTAACTTCCAAGAGTCTAAAATAGATCCATCTTATGCTGTGATATCATGTTACCACAGAACTCCACTGCATATGCCAGAGAAGATTCCAAACCTGGAAAAACAGTTCTTCCAAAATTACAGGCCAGAGACTTGGCAAAGCACTTTTCTGGGGGATGGAGAACAAGGATGGGGTCGATTCAAGAACTACTCTTATTAAACCCCAAAACAGCTATTAGGATGAATAAATAATACCAAGACAATTATAATCTGGCCATTTTCAGGTTGGTGATCAAATTGATCAGATCTCTAGTCTTATTTCTGGGTCGAGAATGTGAGATTTTTCTGTTATTCATACTTGAGAGGCAAAAAATCAACACTGAAGACTAAATCAGTGTTGATAAGATACCAGTAAAACTGCTAATTTAGTCTTTACATAAAAATAGTAGGTCAAAAAGAAGTTTCCCACATGAAAACTACTGACATGTGACTATCAGGCTTGGCAAAAAGACCTCTAAAACAATACTCTTTGTGTTGTGCTCTTCAACCAAATGAAAAAATAACCAAGTGCTATTTTAATTTAGAGGAAATTTTTCCCTAATAGCTTCCCTTCTTCCTTGTGGTGTACCCTACACAATGGCTTAATTGATTTATTTGGTAACCAATTTGTTGGGGTTTTCTGGCAACTCACAAAAACACACTTCATTATTTCTTTGTCACATACCAGGGGCACTGCGCGGGACGTCTCGACCCGAGGCCGGGGTGCCGTAGAGTACATGTAATTGAAGAGTCTGTCAATTTTCCTCAAAGGAACACCACCTCCTCGGTCGCTCATCTAAGAGGAGAAAGAATCATGCACTCTGACCAAGTCCCATGAACAGCAAAATACCCACACGCACTCAGTGTCACAGCCTAACTGCTGGCTGGAGAGTACGGCTTTTCAAAACAAGCACCACGCCATGGAAGTTGCCAGTGTAAACACTTCCCTCACTGCTGGACTTAGCTCACCTCACACATAATATATAATAAACTCCATCATGATACAAATTCAATGTGGTGGCTTAGTGTATGGACTGAAGTCATACTAACACTGCAGTATTGCACAGAATGAGGCATAAACTAAGCCTATCTTGAATGTAAGCATACATTTATTATTTCTTTATGGTAGGCAGTTTGACAACCAGATGAAAAATGCACAAACCCTCTGACCTGACAATGTTTATCCTAAAAAAAAAAATCAGAAGACTATGCAAAGAATGTATAAAAATATCCATCACAGTAGTGCAGAGAATAGCTAAAACTGGATTACAACCTAGAGGACTATCTGAGTAAACTAATGAACATTCTAAAATAGAATACTATTTAGCCATTTAATATTATCTACACCTACATTGGCATAAGAGATATTCACAAAATCTTGTTAAAGAGAGAAAAGTTATGAAGAATTTGTTATATTCTAATTTTATAAAAGTTAAATTGTAAAGTCTGTAATGATATATTTTAGTCTACAGAATTATGAGCTGTTTTCTTCTTTTGGGTTTTTAGTTCCTGAATTTTTTTTTCACAATTACTTCTATTACAGAAACAACAGTGTAATTTACATTTCAGGGAGGAAAAAGCAGAACCACTTCATTGTGTTTAGAACCCCATCTACCAGCCATTTCAGAGCAGACTCCCAGACAATGTTCTGGTGAGTGTGTAAAGTACACAGGGTTTTATACTGTGCTTATATCATTTTCCAACTCAACCCATACAGTAGACTGGATGTAATGATTTCTTTACAGATTGTCTTCATTTTGTTTTCCTTCACAATTAATACAGACTTACTTCCACAGCTGTTGTATATATACCTCCTAATCTAATCTACCACAGTCATCTTCCTTTGTTACAAGATCTAAATTGATTATACTATCTATATTATCACAGTTGTCATACACAAACAAATCTGCTTTAAACATGGGTGTATAGACATGCGTAGATATAAAAATAGTTCTGTGAACCAAAGGATTGCTGGTTCGATTCCCAGTCAGGGCACATGCCTGGGTTGCAGTCCAGTTCCCATTAGGGGATGCATTAGAGGCAACCATACATTGATATTTCTCTTCCTCTCTTCTTCCTTTCCCCTCTAAAGATAAATAAATAAAATCTTAAAAAAATAAAGCAGTTATTTTTTTAAAAATAATAATAAAAATAAAAATAGTTCTGAATGCTATGTATTAAGATGTCAATAGGCTAAATGGTTTCTGATTTTTACATACTCTTTAAAAATCTTTATAGTATGTTTATACAGTAAGTGCTCACCTAATGTCATCAATGGGGTTTTGAAACTGTGGTATAAGGAAGCCAATTTTACCACAGGCTAATTGATATAAATAAGAGATAAGTTTCTATGGCATCTATCAAGGTTATAACTAAACAATGTTAGATTAAGTAGTTATTTGAGGACCTATTGTCTATTCCTTACATAATTAAAACCACATAGCTATTTTAACTTATAAAATAAAAATCTGCTTTGAAATACCATTTGAAGACTTGCCTCTGATATATCTATTATTAGATAATTGCAGTATAAAAATATACAAGGACTTTATTAAGAACTTGTCTGTTGCATTATGCTTAAAATTGTTCTTGGCCATGAATTCAAAGCCCTGTGAAGAGATTTATTTTAGTAAGATGAATAAAATGGTCTGGGCATTTTCTGAGATCAATGTGTTAATTATTTATCCGTTAATGCTCTGCGCACATTTGCTGGTTACATGGTAAGAAATACGAGGGTTCCATAAATATTAACTAAGTAAACAGCATACTAAAATAGATATAAAAAGGTAGAATTCAATAAACATTTCCTGGTTTTCCTTAACCTTCCAGCACCCAGCAGTTATTAAATAAGAAGTGACTTCTAGCCAAAGGGAGTATGAGAAAAGCAGGAAGTGGAGCAGAAAGGACACAGGTGACTTTGATCGGTGTCTTTTTACTAGACAGTGAAAGGGGTAAACTAAGCCATAGGAATATAGTTAAAAACTGATAAAAGTAAATAAAGTAACCTCCTTTGCTTTGCAGCCAAAAACACAATAACCTGGAACCAGCATATTTTTTTAAGTGCTCAAAAGAGTTTCCAAGAGAGTTGTGAGAGATGATAGTATACCAGAGGATCTAAGTTCTTTGGGAAAAGGGAGGGAGGAAATAACTGGGGAGAAAGAGACGGATGTTTGGTCTGGACGTATTTAAGACCAGAAGAGTGGCACTCTGATGACAAATATACTGGGAAAGAGATGTGGAAAATTAAACAAAAAATCTCTGATTAAGATAAAGAAAAAAATCTAGACTCATGGGAACATAAGCCTATGCTAAGGAAAAGGAAAGACATGCAGTGAGGAGTAATGTCAACAGGAAGGCCGAGGAAGAAAAGTTTGCCAATCATTTTTAAAGTTTTCTATTCAGTGCATGAAATCACCACTTCTCAATGTCATCCAAGAGCTGCCACCTCTAACTTCCTATTGGCATAGCACGGGGCTCCCTGGGCCTAGCTCATGTGAATTTCAAGTCCAAGGGAAACCAACCACAGCAACTTGATGACAGCTCTGAAGGTAGGAAATTTACTAACCCTGACTCCCACCCAGAGCTCCTGAAGTCTCTTACTCAACATCTTTTTCAGTGTCAACCTTATAAAACCAACAGTCAATGAACCAAGATGTTTACATTTTAATTTTAAAGATATGTAACTATAACACATATTATTTACTGAATATAGATCAAACACAAAATTTGAGAGAGCAGCAAGAGTTCTAAGACAGACAAAAACAATTCTTTCACAGGATTTTCAGCACAGGGTAAAAAATGTCAATAATTTGAATAAACTAAAGGGATGGAGGAAAAATACCCATACCTTGATTCTTAAAGCCTAGGGTAAGTGATGGGGATGAAATCTCTATTGAAGAAAATTAAAGCAAGCATTTAACCGATAAAGAGATAACTAGAGTAAATGCAGTCATGTGACCTTGGATGTGAGGAGGCGGGAGGCAGAGCCTAATATACAGGTAGGGCTTTTATAAAGGGCTTCTAGAATAGTCTATTCAAGACCCTTATGAAAATTTTTAAAATATAATTCACATACCATAAATTCACCCATTTAAACTCATAGCTTTTAATATATTCATAGGTAGTACAACCATCAGTACAGGCAATTTTAGAATACTTTTATTACCTCAAAAAGAAATGCTGGGACACTTTACTGACTACACTCTTAAGCAACCACTAGTCTACGTCTTGCCCCTTGATAGTTGCCTCTTCTGGATATTTCATATGAATAGAATCATATGATACATGGCCTTTATAATTGGTTTGTTTCACTAGAATAATGTTTTCAATGGTGCAGGAACCATGTCCAATGCTTCATTCTTTTTATGGCCAACTAATATTCCATTAGATGGATATATATCACATTTAATTGATCCATTCATCAGCTGACAGATATTTGGGCTGTTTCCATGTGTTGGCTATGGTGAACAATGCTGCTATGAACAACCATGTGTAAGTTTTTGCTTAAATATCTGTTTTTAAACCTTCAGAGTATATACATACCTAGAAGTGAGAATCCTGGGCCATTATGAACCTTTCTTTATACCAAACAGACAGACTCCCTAAGCAAAGCCTGTCTGTCCACCAGCATAGAAGGAGTCTCCTGAGTGCCTAGGTGATCCTTGTGGTGATGGATGACCACGAGTAGCAGTGGAAAGCACCTGCAGACCAGTTACTAAAGCACAAGAAACAGAAGCAGGAAAAGCTATAAGAAAGGTCATGCTGCATATAACTGAAACTCCAAAGCAGAAGCCATATGGGACTTATTTTGAATCAAATAATAAACCTTAGTGAGCTAGCAGCTGACACATAACCAGCCAAAAAATAGGCACGCATTAGCATCTGGACTAGGGAAAAAGAGTGATGCATTCACATTACTTTTTCAGCAAACAGATGGTACAGTCATATTTATTTGTGCCTCACTCTTTTAAATGAACATCCAAGAGACATACACATAGAAAAGGAAACTCAGAGATACTAGTGCAGACAGCAGAGATAGATTAATTTTTGAAAAAAGGCTATCATTAATATTCTCAGAGTGATAAAAGATAAAACCAAAGTGGGATAGTATAAAAAAGAATAGTAAAAAAGACGTTTATAATAAGATAATGAAACTATGAAGTCAATAAAAGGGCTGGGAATTTAAAGTCAAGAAAATCTGACAGAGTAGAATAAAAAGTTAAGCAGGAGAAAAAAGATACAAAAAAAGGATCATTTCACGACTCCAACATCTCCCAATGTGACTACCAGAAAACAACACAGTGGGGTAGAAAGTATCAAGGAAACAGTAGAAATTCTAAATTCTACAGGGTCCAGTCCAATTAGTGAGGGAAGGCCCACAGCAAACCACATCATTATGAAATTTCAAAACAGAGCTGGAAAAAAGATTTTAAAGGCTCCAGCTGAACAAAACCTCTCAACTAAAATGAGTCACATACAAATGAATGAAAACTGAAATAAGTGTTAAGTCTTTCAAAAGGAATAGCAGGAATTATAGCAAAAATACTGGAGAAAGGAGTTCCAAAGTCTCTCCTCCATCGAAGCAACAGGAAATGGCAAAAGCTGTCAGAACCAACTTTGTTCAGCTCTGGAAATTAACCAAAGTCTTACAGCCATCCTGGGAGCAAGCTGTCAAGAAAAACAACAGTGAGATTTGTAGTGTTTCAACTTGCCTTATTCTCAGTCCCCAAATATAATATGCAATCAGAATGAAATCAGGAGCCTGACAGCCACTGCATTTTTTGACCCAATCCTGAC